GATTTGGAATCTTAGTATAACACTAAGAACTATTTTGGGAGATAATCCCTATCGTGAAAGAGATATGATTTCTTGACCTTATCAGATCAAGTTTGATAGTTTGAGTAAGATTTGGAATCTTGATTTGGAATCTTAGTAGAAGAGGAAATAGAATAGGATTCTGATTTTCTATTTATAGACTGTTGTAGGCTAATAGACTGAAACTCAGTTTAGCTTAACTTATAGGATAGCCCAACTCATAGAATGGGTAGTTCGCAAGGTGATTTTAAGCGTAGGCCCAATCGGGATTGGGTTAAGGCCCTGCGCCGTGAGGCTCGTGACATGTTTATTTCGTTATTAGGCCTCGTCAAGCCTAAGACGATTTTTGGCCCTAACAAGGGTCAACAAGAAATTCAGAATATATACAACACTGATTGAAATATGGAAATTAAACTGAAAAATGGTTTTATTAACTGTGATCATANGAAATTTGTAATTTCCATTTTAGTTTAAATGGTTTTACACATTGTTTTAATAACCAACCCGGGGTGAAACCCAGCAAAGTTGTTGGATCCCGGTTTGACCGACCAGCCAATCAAATCGGGTGACAAAACTTTTAAAATTTAGCAAATACACCCTTAAAAATTATGTTAAGTCCCTATAGGTTTGAAATTTAGCAAACACATTCTAAATACAAATCAGCCAGTGACACTTCAAATGCAATTTCAGTCATATCTTGAGCTCATTCTTTAGAAAATCTACCTAAGATCTGGCTGAAATCGAACTCCTACGCTAATGTCGACATTCTAGGCCAGATCTCACCGATGTCAGAGTCGACAACTCTCCCCATCACCCAAAAAATACTTCCCTCTTCCTCTCGACCAAAACCCACCTCACCCCACCCCCGTTAGCCTCGCCAATCACCAGCAAAAGCCAACTGTTGTTGCCGCCTGTTTTTTTTTTCGATTTTCGGTCAATTCACTCACTAGAATTCAACTTTGTCGCCACCATTGTACTCATCGGCACTTTCTCTTCAAAAGCCCCAACATCCCAACCTTCAATTGTTCGTCGATTATCATCCCAAATTCTAGAGTTTTGGGTGAATAGAGAAATTGTTAACCCAGCCTGGTGAAGCTCCCGAGTCCCAGTTAAATCAGTCGGACCGAGCCGGGTTTTAAAACAATGATTTTACAGTCATAATGTATGTTAGAAGTTGTATTTAGTCCATCTTGTCAATTTGGTAGACTATTTATGGTGTATTATGTGGATAGGCTTCCCCTTCAAGCTAGCTTTTGGGAATAGGGTCAGAGCGTAAGCTAATGATGCTTTTGGCCATTGGACTCTCACAATCTAGAGTGTAGCACTCCATCGCTTCACCTAGCAGCACAACACTTGTATTACTCTCCCACAACCTCGTTTTTATGGTTGAGGTTGCTCCCATTTCACTCACTGCTATTATGGAATTGCTTTTGCTTTCTTTTCCTCTAGCTACTAAGATGTTTCAGTTCACTAGGTTGTCTTTTGCCTGTCCATAGATTCAGTAGTAGTTCAAAAGGTTTACCTATTTAGAAATATTTGGATCTGCACTTGTTTTCAACTCCCCAAAGCATTCCGTCACTTACTACACCCTTCCTTGTCTCTGGGTGCCTAGCTATCCACCGTAAACCTTTCCTTGTTTGAACCTCGCCCTTCACTTTACTTTAGGGCTATGTCATTCCAAGGTGCTACTAAATGGAGGGATCTTATCAACATCCATGAATGGTAAACCATCGATCAAACTGGTTTATTATATTTTAAAAGCGGTTTAAGGTGCGTGGAATATTCTGGTTGCATTTGTTTCACTATCCCAACCCTATCCTCTCCTATCAAAATACATATTTGTTTCAATATTCAAAATTCAATCATATCCTATTCAACTCAAAACATTCACAATTATCTTTGTCAATAAAAGTTTTAAAATTAACAAAAACACTCTCACAAATCCAAACCATTATCACCCATTAGTAGCCATCGCCGCCACCAGTCAGGCAGTCACTGCTAGCATAATGATCGACTGGATATGGCCAGTCGTGAGCCAATTTGTCCATTTTCGGTCAGATCCACCATGGATATGGCCAAAAAAGCCAGATCTATGACCAAAGATTTGTTCGTTAATGGCCAAATCTAGCTGTTAATGGTGGTCATATTTAAGTCATTGTTGACAACCAAACGACGGCCAGAAATCTAGCCATCAACGACAGCCAAGATATGGCTGTTGTTGACGGTCAGATATCTTGGCTGTCAACAGCCAAATCTGTGGACATAGATCTGGCCGTTTCCGATTGGGTCCACGGAAGGCCAGATCGGCGCACAACTAGCCAAATCCAACCGGTCGTGCACCATTATGGTTGATTTCGGCCACCTCCTTACAGTAGTGGCCAATTGCCAGCAATATGTGGGTGGATAGAGATGTTTTTCTCAATTTATAAACTTTTATTGTGGAGGGGTATTTAGTTAAATTAACAAATCTAAGGGGGTTAAAAAATATTTTTAGAAAACACTATTCAGAAATGTACTAAAAACTTTTCAAAATCATATCGGCTTCGTTTGGTTCACATTTTTACGTTTTTGAAAAAAGTTAAAAAAAGTTGAATTGGGCGGGTATTATGATGTAAGATTTGGAAATTAATAAAAATACCCCCTATGTTTATTTTTTACTAAACACTCCTATAATAAAACATTAAAAGTTAACAAAAACACCCCCAACCCACCCCAAAAATATGGACAGCCAGCCACCACCGTCGGAGGGTGGCTGGAGTGGCTATATCAATGCATGACCGGCTAGATCTTGCCGGTTGTGTACCGATATGACCTTTTTCGCCCAGATCCATGGTGAATCTGGCCGAAAAAAGCCAGATCTATATCTAGATCTGGCCATTGACGGCCATATCTGGCCGTATTTGCTCATCAACGACGGCCAACATATGGTTGTCCTTGATGGTCAACGACGAACATATGTAGGTCGTCGTTGATGGTCAACGACGAACATATGTTGGCCGTCGTTGACGACTGACTACGGCCAAAGATTTGGCCGTTCTTTGGCCTTAGATCTGGCCGAAAAAGGCTAGATCGGTGCATTACCGGCCATATTCAACATGTAATGCGCCGTTATTCTAGATTCCGACCATCTTTCGGCAGTGGTGGCCGGAATCTGGTAGACGTGGGTTGTTGGGGCGTTTTTGTAATTTCTAAAAAAAATATTTAAGAGTATTTAATTAAATTAACAAATTTAAGGGGTTTAAAAAAGTCGAATAATATTGTAGTTTTTGCAATTTTACTGTTTAACTTTATTGGGAATGCTAAAAGTAGTATTCCCAAACTTGAGCCAAACAAAGCCATCTATTTTTCAAAAATGTTATTCTAAATAGCTAACCAAACGGACATGGTTACTAGATTACTGGATTTATTGTAGTATTTATTTTCGTCTTTAATTTTTTGGGATCACATGAGTGACAACTAAGGGCGGATCTAGAGTATATTGACATGCCCACCCTCAAATTTTTTGAAAAAAATATTTATATGTAATTTTTTTTCTTTTTATGTCAATTTTAACTAAAAATATAAAATATAAATATTATACACTATTACATCTTATTTTAGCCCATCCTAATAAGAATTTATGAATCTACTACTGTCTACTAGTGACAACTGACACGAGTATGCAATAATGAAGGGAATCGGTGAAAGCGCCAAAAGTTTGTAGATGCTTTGTCATTACATTTTAGTGGGCATGGAATCTATGCTGATAATATATAGAAAATGCCACTTACATTACTTGTACACAAGTGACCATATGGTCCACATCTAATTTTCATCCACACCTTTTTTTCTTTTTTTTTTTTTTCCTTTTTTGCCATCAATTTGTCTTGTCCATTTGCCCATTTGCCTCTAACACGTGCCACATTTTCCTTCAACTAGAATTTTGGACCCATCCAGCTGTTTAACCGAACCAAAATTTTTTTTTCTGGACTTTTAATATGTGGAATTGTTTTAATGAATGTATTTATTCTTGATAATTTCTATTTTCTATATTAAAATCCTGATTAAATGCATATTTTTGGTTTGTGGTAATTCCTTTTTTCCTGACTTTTAATACGTGGAATTCCCATGATGTCACACTGATAATGCTATAATAATTATAGGAGTAAACAACTTTTTCCCACCCAAGGTTTGCCTTAGTCATTCCCCATGAAGAAGTTTCAAAATTTCACTTTTCCACCCAAAATTAATATTTTGTTATTATCCAAAGTTGATTTTGATGACAAAAATTATCTCCGTCATCATCATTTGAACCGTTAGTCTCCTCTCTATAAAACCCTCTCACTTCTGCACTTGATTTCCCACTGATTGCTGACCACTTAGGGTTTCCTGTTGTTAAATGATTTTCGACTGATTCTAACAGTAAATATTCAATCAGTCACCACCATTCGATCCATTGATCTTAACTCTTTAAAACTCCTCTTATTCTAGTTTCTATTAACTCGTCAAATGTCAGCTGAGAAAATGATTATCAGAATATAAACTTTAGGTGTGAAAGTGGTATTTTGAAACTTTTGGGATGGGAAAGGGTTATTAAGGCAAACCTTGGGTGGGAAAGAGTAATTTGCTCATAAGTATAATAAATATTGCCCGCGCAATGCATGATTCTGTTTGGATTTATAAATTTCTGCTAAAAAAGAAATTAAATTTGTTTCCATTTAAACTAAAACAAAACATTCCCTTTATTATCCTCTTTAAATTTTAATTCTTATCTATTTAGGATTAAGGTAATATCCTAATCCTTGTTTAAAAAAAAAATTAACCATACGCTAATACAGTTAATTTCCTAATTAAGGGAGTTCTTAAGCTAATCAATGTAAACTGATTACCCGTGAGATTAGCACAAAATCTAAATTAACTAATCCCAAATTCGAAAAATAAAAAATCTTCTTCCTCTACCGAAGATTAAGGCAGAAGAAAACACACTATATAAACTATCAAGTTAAAATAATAATAAAGGATAAAGAGGTTACTGTAGCTTCGGTTTCTGTGACGGTTAATAAAAGAAAACCAAAGCATTCAAATGGCGCAGTTGTTGAAAGACGAGGAAGAATTGACGGTGGCAATGGAGAAGACAGCGATACACCATGAAGAATCACCAATAGCGGTGGAGAAGACGGCGACGACGCACGAAGAATTATCGGTGCCGATTCACGCGTCGCTTGAGCCGGTATACGGAGGGGGATCTCAGCTCGAAGAGGCTCAACTTCGTTTGGATAGATTGAAGTCTAAGTTTCTTGAAGTTTTCGGTCATCAGCCTGATCTTTACGCTCGATCTCCAGGTCAACTATTGTTTATCTGTCTGATTGGTTGCTTAGAAAAAAATAATATGAAAACAAAAATGGAAATTATCTTTTGTAATGATTAAAAATGTTTAACTAATGATGCAGGGAGAGTCAACTTGATTGGTGAACATATTGACTATGAAGGATACTCGGTGTTGCCAATGGCAATTCGCCAAGACACAATCGTGGCGATAAGAAAACACAAGTCGAGAGAGGCTCAAAAGCTTCTTCGAATTGCTAATGTTGATGATAAGTACACCATTTGTACTTATCCTGCTGATCCTAATCAGGTCAGTAACTAGAGCTTTATTTAGAGGCTAGCGAGCTTTTTTTTAAAATGATCTGCTCATATGTTTTGTTTCTTTTTTGGCAGGAAATTGATTTGAAGAACCATAAATGGGGCCATTATTTCATTTGCGCGTAAGATAAATTGCCATATTTTTTTTTTTTTTTTTTTAAAAAAAGAAGAAAATTATTCATATGGTTTCCATGTGATTTAATGACTTCACAAATCTAGTTTTAAGGATTAAAAATAGAACAACTGTAGTATTGTGAAAAATTGAAGTTAAAAGGACTTGTGACATTTTCAGTTTTTGAACTGTTTTTGGTTTCTTAGTGCAACTTATGGGTGTACTTCTTTTAAAAGCAATCATTTATAAAATAGGTGATGTAAAATAAATTTAAAATTGGTTTCCTCATCTTTGTTGTAATGGCATGTTTTGTCCAGATACAAAGGCTATTATGAATATGAGAAAGCTAAAGGAGTGAAAGTTGAACCACCGGTTGGACTTGATATTGTTGTGGATGGGATAGTTCCAACAGGTGAATTTTCGGATAAGTTTACTGTGGCTTATTAAATGAAAGTTGATTAGTTAGTTGTTCTTATTGTACCATGAAGTTACTTTCTTTGTTACATATTTTTCGCAAGTCTGAGACACTTTTCTTTAATCTAGGTTCTGGTCTGTCAAGCTCTGCAGCGTTTGTTTGTTCTTCTACAATTGCCATCATGGCTGCTTTTGGTGTGAATTTCCCAAAGGTATACCAATCTTCCAAAACACTTCAGGAATATAGTTTATAGCATCTGATTTCTCTCTCGGAAAGCATTTTTTGAGAATATGTCCAGTGGGATTATTACTATTTTGAGTTCTAACTTATTTTCCTTGTTTGACAGAAAGAGCTTGCACAGCTTACATGTGAATGTGAACGACATATTGGAACACAGTCTGGTGGGATGGACCAGGTTAGAGACAATATTCTGTTTAATTGCAAATTTCATTCTTATTTTGTGAATGAATATCAGGGATCATCTATTCCATGAGTTAAATTTGATGGAATTTCTTGTTTACGGTTAGTGGCTAATATTATTATGAATACACAAAAAAAAAAAATTTATCGTTGGTCCTTATCTTGTCTCCATTGGCAGGCAATCTCTATCATGGCCAAAACTGGGTTTGCTGAACTGATTGACTTTAACCCTATTCGTGCAACTGATGTACAACTTCCCGCTGGTGGGACTTTTGTGATAGCCCATTCTTTGGCAGAATCTCAGAAAGCAGTTACTGCCGCTACAAATTACAATAACAGAGTTGTTGAATGTCGATTGGCTGCGGTAAGTTTTACACCCCTGAATGTAAAATACTTTTCCTTGTTAGTACCAATGTATGTTTAAGCAGTGCTTATAATTAGTTTGCTTCAAGTATTCCTGACTTGGGTTTTAAAATTCTTATTTCCCTCATATGCTTGTGTAAAATTTTGGCGTTTAAATAAATGAAAACATAGATTTTCCAGAATCAAAGTTCTGGTAAGATTTTATGGGACTCTTTTAATAACTTCTACAGTATATCCTGATTTCTAATTTAAAAGTAGGATTTATCATAACTAGAACTTGCACTTGGGTGTAAAATTTCAGTGACTGTTATAATATTTCCTCAAATCGACTTTTCATTGTCATGTCTTTTGCTCAAAATTTGCTTTTGGGAATTTCAGATCGTTCTTGGTATAAAGCTGGGAATGAAGCCAACAGAGGCTGTATCTAAAGTTAAAACTCTTTCTGATGTTGAGGGATTATGTGTAGCATATGCTGGTAAACATGGATCTTCTGATCCTGTCCTTGCTGTTAAGGTATTTATTGATTGAATTTTAATGTTTTCATGTGTTTTTTATTCTACTTAACAATTTAGGAAATCCCCTTATTTGCACAGTATTTGGATCTTGGTTTTGGGTTGTATAACTTCACAGTGATTATGGATTTTGGATTGTTGTCAACTTATAATCTATTGTATTCATTAAAGGAACTTTTGCATGAGGAACCATACACTGCTGAAGATATTGAAAAGATCATTGGGGAAAAGCTATCATCAGTCTTTGCAAATAGTCCAACTTCTTTGGACGTACTAAAAGCTGCCAAGCACTTCAAGTTACATCAGGTATCTTCTTCATTAATTTAATGCCTTTAGAATTGGCTGTTTATTCAATCATCACTTGTTTCCTCAAAGTTCTGTTTGTGTCCCAGAGAGCTGCCCATGTGTACTCTGAAGCCAAGAGGGTGTATGCTTTCAAGGACACTGTATCCTCAAATTTAAGGTGAGTTTTATCATTAGATATTAGTTATTCTTTGTATCATCTATGAATTTTTGGCATATATTTTAGGGACTGTTTATCAAATGTAAAAAGTTTAACATCTTCAACCTTTTTTTTATTTATTTATTTATTTTTTATATATTAGCTCTTTATTTATAATTTTTTTTTTTATGTTAGCTGTTTGATTTATAAGATTCTAGTTCCTTTACAAAGGAAACTCATAATTACCTCTGCTTTTGTACAACTTACAAACTAGTCATATCTGGCGACAAAGATTGAATTTCTTTTTTCAGCTCCTTGCATGTCTTTCGATGGGATTTGTAGGATCTAAGCCCTAGTTTGTCAAATTATGACTTTTGAAGTATTATTTTTGCAGTGAGGAAGACAAGCTGAAGAAGCTTGGTGACCTTATGAATGACAGCCACCACAGTTGTAGTGTTCTATATGAGTGCAGGTACACAATAGCATCTATCTTCCTAGCATATATCAGCTCTGTTAGCCTTCCAATATTCTATAAACATTATATTCACTTTTATCTTTTCCCTTAATCTGTTACCAGCTGCCCAGAGTTGGAAGAACTGGTAAAAGTGTGCCGTGATAATGGCGCTCTAGGGGCAAGGCTGACAGGGGCCGGATGGGGTGGTTGTGCGGTTGCTTTGGTGAAAGAGGGCATTGTTCCACAGTTCATCCTCAATTTGAAGGTACTCCAATATTTGACTGAATTTCTCTGTTTACAATCCTTTTTTTCAAAGGACAAATCTAACACTGGATTTATATATATCAGGAAAATTTCTACCAGGCAAGAATCATCAAGGGTGTGATTAGCAAGAATGATCTTGGGCTTTATGTTTTTGCTTCGAAGCCATCAAGCGGTGCTGCTATTATCAAACTTCAGTCTTCTTCCGCAAATCATTCCAAACAAGCCTGATTTTTTAAGCTTGTTTATTAATCCCCATGTAATCTCTACATTGTTATGTACTGCGTGAGTCCTTAGTTTTTTACTTTTTAAATGGTATATTATAATAAAGCTCTGTATAATTTTTATTCTCGGAGATTTGTACTTTGCACTAATGTTACTGTGTAGTTTAAGTTTTAAGCCATGTGAAATTGCCATTTTTAAATAAGAAAAACAAGATTTTAACTCAGATAAATAAAAACTTTTGTTCGGTGATTAAGGGTCTACTTGAGAGTTTTATGGTAGCGGTAAACCATCGTAACGGTTTTAAGGGTAAACTATCGTAGTGGTTTTGAGAGATTTTTAGAAGCGGTTTTTAAAACATCCAACCTGTGTTTGGGAGTTTATTTTTCAGCGGTTTTAACAGTTTTTTAAAATAATAAATTTATATATATGCCCATAAAAATGTCTCAACTTCAACCAGTACATGAGACTTTTTTTTTTTCAATTACCAATACTTAGTATCAAAGTTCCTTCCAAGTTTAATTTATTTATAAGTTCTTTCATTGTATATTATTTAATTTATTTGTATGTTCTCAATAAAATATGTAATTTAGTTGATAACATTGGGTATGCTGGCACTATTAGCATACTTGGTAATTTGACTTCCACTCAACAACTAGATTTGCTGAAAATATATGCAAAAGAAGCCAAATTGAGCTTCCCACATTATGAATGAGTTCGGGTTTTCCATTGAATAACCCAATTCATATTCAAGAATAGCAAACTCTGAAAGAGAACTGTTCAGAAAAATAATAGTGGAAATGGGTTTTTTTGAGATAAAATTTTTAAACTAGTTTGGAGTGTTTTATAAACCCTTCAAAAATGCACTACACCGGTTTTGGGGGGTTTTTAAACCGGTCAAAACCAATCCATAAAAAATCTGGCAAGTAATGGTTTTAGAACACCTCAGACCATCTCCAACCTATTGCACCAATTTGGTGCAAATTTTGGTGCAAAACACTATTCCATCTCCAATCCACAACACCAAATATTACACCAAAAAAAATATTCCTTAGAATATTCTTTTTTTTCTTTTATTATAATAATCAACAATTAATCTATTTCACTCATTATTTTTGTATATATTTTTTAAATATTAGGAATGATATTTTTATTAAATAATAATTATTTTAAAAATTATACTAATTTAATAAAATTAAGCATTTATTTAATCAAATAAATATTACATTTAATATAGAAAAACATTACATCTAATATAAAATAACTCTAGTTCAAAGATCTCAAGATAACTCTAGTTCTTTTCAATATTTTGATGATCTTACTGGATCTGGAACTAATCTACCAGAATACTAAATTGTAATTTGAGTTTATTTTGTATTTTCTTTTAATTTTATTGTTTTTAAATTAGTGTTAATTTTTATTTTTAGTTATTGTAGTTTAATATTTGCATTGAATAAAGTTCTATTTTTAATTTTTCATCATTTTTTAAATTATATCATTTTATAAATAATAATCAAATTAAATTAAATACAAATACTCAAATTTGGTGTGATTTTTGGTATAAAATTTAATAATCAAATTAACTTAACAAAATTAAAAAAAAAAAGCAAAATTAAAAAAAAAATATATATATATATATATATATATTATTTGTGCTACAGTATTACGCCATTTGTTCGGCCGTGTGCAACCAGATCGACCTTGACAGTTGACACCCCAGCCCTACGCAATTAAATCAAGATGGTACTAGATTTTGATGCATGATGCACCATCACAAGGATACTCTCACATTACTATGTAGATAATCCCACGTGGTAGACCATGCATCTTTTATTATCTCAATTTTTTTGTCAATTAAAAACCCGTTAGTTTGTTTTAGTATTTTAGGTAATATTTTCGAAAAAATAAGAGTTAGATTGGAATAACAGATTAGGATTTAAAAATTAATAAAAATATTTTCTTAAATTTGTTAATTTATTAAATACCCTTATAATAAAACTATTAAAAATTATAAAAACTCTCCCATCCACCTATTAAATACCGACAGCCGACTACCACCGTCGGAGGGTAGTCAGAGTCGTTGTATCAACACACGACCAATTGGATTTGGTCGTTTGTGCATCGAGATAGTCTTTTCTAACTAAATTCACCGTGAATCTAGTTAGAAAAACTCAGATCTAACCATGTTTGCTCGTCAACAATCGTCAAAAAAACGACCATCGTTGACACTCTAGCCCCACACAATTAAATAAAGATGGTACTAGACTTTGATGGTACATGCATGATGCACCATCACAAGGATACTCTCACATCACTATGTAGATAATCCCACGTGGTAGACCATGCTTCTTTTATCATCTCTACTTTTTTGTCAATTAAAAATTTGTTAGATTGTTTTAGTATTTTGGATAATATTTTCGAAAAAGTAAGAGTTAAATGAGAATAACGGGTTAGAATTTAAAAATTAATAAAAATACCTCCTTAAGTTTGTTAAGTTATTAAACACTCCTATAATAAAAGCATTGAAAATTACAAAAACACTCTCACTCATCCATTAAATACCGACAACCGACCACCACCATCGGATGATGGTCAGAGTCACCGTATTGGCGCACAACCAACTGAATCTAGTCATTCGTGCGTCAAGATGACATTTTCTAGCCAAATTCATTGTAGATCTAGCTGGAAAAAGCCAGATCTGGCCATGTTTGGTCGCCAACAACCATCAAAGATATGGTTGTCGTTGACAATCAGCTACGACCAAAGATCTGGTTTTTTCCGGCCAGATCCACCGTGGATCTGGCCGAAAAATGATAGATTGGCGCACTATCGACCAGATCTAGCCGGTAGTGCGTCATTATACCAGATTCCAACTACCTTCTGACGGTGGTGGCCGGAATCTGGAAAATATGGGTGGGTGAGGGTGTTTTTGTCAATTTCTAAACTTTTTTTTGTATGTTTAGTTAAATTAACAAACTTAGAGGGTTTAAAATAATTGAATAAAATAAAATAGGATTTTAAGAATATGGAACAAATGTATATTTTGGGTAAGATAGGGATATGATAGTGCAAAAATAATTAATCAAACGGACCATAGTTATTTATTTTTCAAATTTTTATATTATAATATACGATGAATTTTGAAGAGGAAAAACCAAGTTCCTGAAATAATGTAAAGCTTAGGTCCCACAATACTATGTTACCATCTTCGTGTCAGTCTATTTGGGTCTTCAAAGATTTTGCAAACAATGACATTTCATAATAAGTACCAAGTGCATCCACTAAATGTTTTACTTCTCTCTCTAATAAATAACTTCATTCAAAAAATAAAAAATTAAATTACAACAATTTAAGAATTCAAGCTCAATTAAAGAGACAATATTACCCACCCATGGTAGCCCAACGACAAGGGCGAATCAAGAAAGTTATGCATAACTTTCACCTACAATTTCAGGTTCAAATTTCCGTTGGGCACAAAAATAGTAATTTTGCCTATGTTTTAGTTGAAGAGTCGCAACGATGGGTTGCTGTGGAGTAGTTTTTCTTCAAGATTAGTAAAGGTAAACGTAAATTGGTCCGAACATCTTAATTAAAAAAATATGTATTTGTTTTGGGTCTAATTTGTATCAATTCTCTTATTAGTTTTATATTAACATCTTTCGCTTTAATGGCTTCTATTTAGATAAAGGGTCGAGATCTGTAGAACCTAGAAATCATAAATTGAAAAAAAATATGAAATGTTTTAACAAAATTGGTGAGACAATCCATGAGACAGAAATTGAATTATTTAGAGCAAGAGAACCCCACCAAAAGAGCATTAAATGCTCTCACTTAAATTTAGATATGATGTATTAATAATGGGTTCAAAATGTATAAGAATAGTGAGATTTTGAGGGCCTACCCGCATACACGTGTTTTTTCCTCTGTTTTAAAATCCAGACCAGACCGACCAGTCTGATTGAGACCCGACAGCTTCTCTGGTCCGATTCAAGTCTTAGAAAGATTTTTATAATATTTCAAAATTATAAGGGTTAATTATAATTTTATAAGGGTATTTTAGAGATATTTCAATAGTTTAAGGATTAATTAGTAATTTTTTGGAGACATTTTTTAAATAAATAAAAATTTTAGAGACTAATTTAAACTTTTTAGAAGAATTTTTGTAATATATTAAAATTTAAGGGATTAATATGTAATTTTTAAAAATAAAATTATCGCTGATGTCATCGATCCAACTGGTTGACCCGTGACCCAAGCAGCAAAACGGGTTACTCTCTGGTCCGGGTTTTAAAACAATGGTTTTTTCTGCTCAAATTTCAGAATTTAGATATGAAATCCGTTTTTTTTTTTTTTTTTTTTGATAAAAACACAATTTTCTTCTAGAGGGACGCCTCATCCCCAATCCGATCCTACTTGAATTGAACTATTTTTTTTCTTTCTTATTGTTATATAAATTATGAAATGATAATATATGGTTGCTCGGCTCCCTCACCCTTTTTGATTTCTTTTGTGTTTGTATTTTTCATCTCTTTCTTGACAAAAGGAGTGATTGTCTGAGCCTATGAAAATTAGCTTATAAGCAACAAGTGCTTATAAACTAATTTTAGCTTATAAGCATTTACAATTTTAAGCAATTACGTGTTTGGTTAAAGTACTTATAAGTGACTGATAAGTAGTTGACGTGTTTAGTAAAATGTGGCTTATAAGTACATTTTATTATAAAATACCTAAAAAGGGTACTACATTAAACAATGGTATACTATAAAATTTTAAAATTAAACAAGGATAATATGGTAATATATTTGGTCAAACTAGCTTATAAGCAGAGTGCTTATAAGAAAAAAAAAAGTATCTCCTCCTCCTCCCCCCCAAACTTTTTTTTTTTGGCTTATAAACTCAACTTATAAGTTCAAAAAAGTTATAAATAAACACGTCAACTTAATTTTAGAGCTTATAAACTAGTTTGATTAGCTTATAAACTTAGACAAACACTTTCGAAGTCTACCATATAATTGTTCAATACGGCCAAAAGCAAATTCTACACCCGAAGACATCTCCGGTGAATTTATTTTCAAAAATAATAAAAAAGTTACATTTATTTTAATGTTTCCATGTGTTTCACGATTGAAAGTTCCACATATTGCAATCAAAATTTAATATTGAGTGCCCCATTTAAACTCATAGGAAAGTGACATTACCACTAAGTTTAATGATAAAATATATTTTTGCCTTTTTTTAAAAATTAAAATTAATATAATTTGAAGGGTATTTATTCTGATTTTACTATAATGTCTCAAACTCAATTATCTTACAATATTAAAATTTTTCGCACTGATAATGCCATAGAAACTCATTTTGGTAGAGCCGAATGAAAATATAGAAAAGAAACTCAAACCCCACTTTCCGACCATTTTTAGAAAATAAAAAAATAATAACCTTTAACGATGTAAATATTAAGAAACAGGGAGAAACATTAATCTTATCAAATTCAACGACTCTATAAATCATTAAGAATAATATTACAAAAAATATAGGTTGATTTTAAATTAAAATTAAATTTTTATCTAATTATCTTTTATCACATAATATTGTACGAGAATATTGTATGAATAATATTACTAAATCATTAATTTAAATGTAAAAAAATATTAGTTAATTATAAAATTAAGAAAAAAAAAAATTAGTCAGAGCAACAAATTTAATTCCCAAGGTGTCGGTGGCGATTCCTTCACTGCCCCACATTCAAATCTGCGCCAAACTCAAACGACAACGCGTAAATTAATCAAAAATCATAATTAATTAATTTAATTTACTCTTAATACTCCTCGTGTCTTCTCCTTATAACTCGCTCCTTCTGACTCTTTCTTTCTCTCTCCTTATAAACCAAAACTCAGAGCTATCCTTTTCATCACTCACTCTACTTCCGTGTTTTGTTTTGTGCACTACTTTGCGTCGGATCTGGGGATTTCTTTGCTTCTTTTTTAAGGTATTATTTGCTTGCATTTTGCGGATTTCAATTTGATTGGTTTGCGTTTTGCTTTTGATACGGGTCGAAAATCAAGACTTGTTCCGTGCTTTGTTTTCAAGGTTCATATTTTTCATCAAGCTTGAAGCCACATTGTATTTATTTTTTTTATTTTTTTTGAAAGTCTTTCGATGTTCTTGCTGTGATTGATTTTTTTTCCCTGTTGTATTGAAAAATGCAGGGTTTTGTTCATTTTTGGAATTGTTTTCAGGAGATTGACTTTGAGAGAGAGGTTAATTTATCGCTGTAAAGGTGGCATAGGCGTGTAGACGAAGTTAAATTGCTGATTTTTTAATGATATTTAAAGTCCTATTTGTGAGTTGAAAACCGGAAAGATACTATTGCTTCTTGAGCTGGATATGGTGACTGGGGCCTTTTGGCTATAAATGGTGTTGTATTGTGTAAAACAGCTATCGTGTTTATGTGGGTTGGCTACAAAGATTGAACTTTTGGTGGGATTTTAAAAAATTTGGGGCTTTGATTATTTTGTGTGTGAGAAGGTAAAATCAGGTTAAGCTTGTACGGTTGCAATGGATCATGTTGTTCCAGTAGAGAAAAAATATTTAATTGATCTTGAAAGTGGGTGTGTGGTTAGTGAAGATGGTTCAAGGGAAGACACTATATCTGGTGTTAAAAAACAGGTAAAGATGTTGCTTGCCAAAGTATGTAGTCGGTTTATGGACGGATCAGTGAAAGTTGAAGATAAGGCGAGTTTATGTAGCAATGTGTCAAGTATTGATGGGGTTTCGGTGGAGAATCTGAAGGGGGCGAGTAAAGATGATGAGGGGAAGAAAGTGGTGAAGGAGAAACGAAAAAAGTCGAGCAATAAGAAGGCCCCAAAACCTCCCAAACCACCAAGAGGTCCATCACTGGATTCTGCTGACCTGAAGCTCATCAAAGAGATTACTGAAATTGCCATGTTGAAACGTGCAAGGATTGAGAGAATGAAAGCTTTGAAGAAGATGAAAGCTGCAAAACAGTCGTCACCAAATAGCAACATATTAGCCATGGTGTTCACTGTTCTCTTTTGTCTTGTGATTATCTTTCAAGGTAACATTTTTTTTTTAATGAATTTGAGTTTGACTTATGTGAAATTGAGAATTGCATAACTGTTTAGTGTTTGTTCCCATAATGACTTAACCTAAGAATTGGGTTCCATGCTCTCTTTAGTTTTCAACAAATTTTGAAATTTTGGCGAAGGGTCTGATTCATGTTTTACTTTCGTGGATGATCTTTTCCCCACTTTTTTCTTCCTCTAGTTTGCTCAATATTCACCTAGTCCCTTTTGGTGTTTTATGCTCATCATCTGAGAGGTAAGAAGAAAACTAGTCTTTGAATGATTTAAAAGACCTACTTTTTCTTTCCATGTGTTTTTAACCCCTAGTAGGAACGGGATTAGTACCAATACAATTTTCTTCCAAGGTAAATTAGTTTTGGAAGGAAGATTTCATTTAACAGGATATATAATTCAGTATAATTTCATGGTGCCTTTTGGTATAATTAACACTTATCGTATTGTTTTTGAAGAATTCTATTGGTCTTGAGAATCATATAGTGAACTTTATCTTTGTTTTATTCAAGCCTTGTAACTTCTTGTTCTTCTTTTCTTGAATTTTCCTTAGCAGGATTGTCATCCGGGGCTACAAAGGTAAACTTTGAGGAATCTCCCATCTCAACAGGATCAACAGAGGGTGGTTTAATTTCTGTTCACTTCACTGGAAACCCAGCTCCAAGTAATGCTAATGGACCTGGATTTCCCAAGTAAGTTACTGTTGATTTTGGCTATGAAAGTTATACTATGCACCTTTCCCTCCTATGGTCCGTAAGTTCTGAAAATGAATGAAAACAACATCAGAGCAATCTAATAAAACCAAACTCCCATTTTTTTTGAAATTGCAGTTTGGTGGAGCAGGTTGCGGTTTCAGATCCACATCAAAGCATAAATATAGCTGCTGGATGAAATTGGAATATCACGGAGCATCATAGAGTTGTCTTCAAGGCTATACATAAACTCACTTGTAGTTCCTGCAGTTCTCTTGCAAGCCATTACACTTGCACTTTCGATACACATGGACCTCTGAAGTTGGAAATTTTGCCGGGTAATTAATCTAAAATGGGGGATGAGTTAAATTTACCATATAAAATTTAACTGGGTCATTTCGTTTTGTTCATTAGGCCACACCACATATGTCCTATTAGTTGCCTCCTGGGCAACTAATGTAAAGAGACATGTTGTGTTGGTGATTATGTCCATAGGAGTACTTGAGAAACTCAGAGTTTAGATGGAGGCCAATTTGATTATTACTTTGCAACTATCTTGGTGTTTTATGTTTACTTGAAAACATGGGAATGCTGAGGATATAAGAAAATAAGTATGCCTTCTTTGTAAATGAAAATATTTGATGTCAATGAGAATAATAATAATAATAATTTGTCTGCAAAACATGATCCTGTGAATATGAGTATTGTCCATGCTTTAGTGTTGGTCTTTGTTTTTGGTGGGTTGGAATTTGGATATAAAAAAGGGGAGAACGTTAAAACGACAAGTTGGTACCTAAAAGGTTTTGAAATGACAAATAAGTACCTTCCGTCATGTTCTGTTTGTGGTTTTCGTTTGATAATAGTGAAAAGACTAAAATGCCCTTCCAAGTTTAATATTTTAGTTTTTTATAAATTTAAAAATTTCTAAAAAACCTCCTAGGTTTGCTAATTTGACTAAATACTCCAATATATAAAATTTTTATAAAATAACAAAAATACCCCCGTCACCTGCAGTGCTAAATTTCGGCCACCACCGTCAGAATCTGGTCGGAAAATTGTGTTACAACACAGATCCGATGGATCTATATCGTAACGCGTCGATCTGGCCTTTTTCGGCCTCTACGGCCAGATCTGGTCTTTTCGGTCCAGATCCTCCACGGATCTGGCAGGAAAATGCCAGATCGACGTGTTACGACACAGATCCGATGGGTTTGTGTCGTAACACAATTTTTCGGCAAGATTCTGGCCTCGAAGGCCAGATCTGGCTGTAGATCTGGCCTTTTCCAGCCAAATCAGTCACAGATCTTGCCGGAAAATGCCAGATCTACGCGTTATGACACAAATCCGATGGGTCTGTGACGTAACGCAATTTCTCGGCTAAATTCTGGCCGTGGTGGCCGGAATCTGGCACTGCAGGTGGCTGGGGTGTTTTTGTTATTTTATAAAAATTTTATATATTGCAGTATTTAGTCAAATTAGCAAACTTAGAGGGTTTTTTAGAAATTTTTAAATTTATAAAAAACTAAAATTTTAAACTTTCAAGAGTATTTTAGTCTTTTCACTATTATCAAACGAAAATCACTAACAGAACATGACGAAAGTTATTTATTTGTCGTTTCAAAACTTTTTGGGTATCAACTTGTCGTTTTGACAAATTTTGGGTATGCGTAAGTCGTTCAGCCTATCAAAAAGAGATAAATGGCACGTGACGACACTCTTTCAGAGGACCTTGGTCGAACCATAGAACCTTCCAATGCAGCTGTTTAAACACCTGCAGTGAAGATCCTTTTAATTCTGCGGTTGAGCCTGAGCTAGCACATGCATTCACATGAGCTAAGTTACTAGATTTCTTTTAAGGGAAAAGCACAAACACGTTACAATAATCAAATTTAGAAGAATAAATAATTTCAAATTTGAAATATTGTTTTTTATTACTAAAAGATAAAATTTTGTAAACTCTTATACACGAATAAATAATTTGATTTAGTTTTTTCTTCCATTTTTTCTCACTGAAAAATATTTGCAGATACAGGAAAGTATAATTAAAATATGAAACATAGTACATACATCATTCCAAAACTATACGCACCAAGAACAAAAATTTTAAAAAATAAACCCTTAATCTAGAGGCTTCTACAAGCTGGTTTTGGTCTGTTTCTTACCACCACATAAACCAGATTAGGCCCAGTTCCATGTGATGAGTGGCTCAAAAGGGCATGAAATAGAAAGAGAATCAGGATCTTCATTCTATGGTTATAAGGCAATTACTATATGCAAAAAAACTGAGAGTTGTAGAAGTTATGAGAGAGAGTTTTTAAGATTGGATTATGAGCTACTTTTCATTGTAACCTTTTAAACTCAAAAAGTACAAGATCTAGACAGAACACTGGAGGCTGGAAGAAGCATCTAATATTGTATTTTATTGTCACACAAACCACAATAATAATACATAGATGACTAAAATATTAACAACAGGTACAACAATGAAATCTAACCCTTTGCCAAAACATTAATAATGGCAACAGCAATCTGAGAAAGGCTATGAATAAGTTTGTTTCTGTCACTTAATGGAGATCCACTTTTTCCTGGGAAACCCTTGTCACATTGATCAACTAGTTTGGCAGCATCGGAAATTCCATAGTTTGCAAATCCATATTGACCTTTACTCAAAGCTTCAATGGCTTCAGGAAGCTCATATTTGACAACTGAGATGTAGAGTTCTGCACATTCAGCCAAAGCTCTCTCTTCTTTGGGGTCTGAAGTCTGTTTAATCAGCCCCTCTATGTAATGCAAAGTGTCGGTTGCATTTCCCAGAACAATATTAGCCACTGAACTGGCCAGCCCTTTAATATTTGAACCTGGGGTGTTGGCGATTGGCTGCAGAGTGGCCACACAGAGATCATGAAAGGGTGTTTTTCTGCATATTTTCTCTATCAAATCATCATCGTCTACGTTAATAGCAGCAGCTTCACATTGTAGTTGTAAATGAACTGATAGGAAAAGAAGAAGAAGAAGAAGAAAAAGAAGAAGAAAGGTCAGAGTTTTTTGCATGTTTGCAGAGAAACTGAAGTGAACTGAACTGAAATGCCCAGAGAACAGAGCAGAAGAAAGATGATTGGTTTGGTTTTTTTTAAGGTGGTTTGCAAATCCTCCATTATTTTATAGAGAGAGTTTGGGGATCCCCTTTCGTCCAAAAAGTAAAACTTCTTTGAATTTGCTTTGTCCTTATTATCACATATTTTCATGTGAAAGCAGGGCATGCTTGGGCTGTTGCTGTAGAGGGAATTACGTTTTGATTATCAATAATTCGGTGAAAAGTTATAGAATCACAAGATGTTGAATTGATTATGGCCATCTCAGTCTCTCCTTTATGAAATGATGCCAAACTTGACCCGTGAACAAAAATGGTAGAAAAGAGAAGGAAAATGTGCTTTTAAGTACAAAAAGCTGTTGTTTCTCTAAACCCTTTTGAAGATCCAATTGGTACCCATAGTTTTGTGGCAGAAAGAGACAAGGCATAGAGAATTTGATAAACCACAACCAGTAAAGTTCTTTGATCCACTCAAGGATTTTGTCTATATTCTTCCCTTTCCATCTCTTTATAATTAATAAGTTAAATTAACAGATGTTTTATGGTGGAATATGCGATTTAAGGATTCAATTGATAAGTTTAGGTTATTAATAGGAAAGATACATGCTTCCGACTATGGCACACGAGACTACTATTCATTTCCATACTGCGCTGTTGTTGATGCCCATCAATAGCGGATCCAGAAATTCTTATTAGCGTGAGTCAAAATAAAATGTAATAGCATATAATATTCATATTCTATGTTTTTAGTTGAAATTGACATAAAAAGAAAAAAAATTACATATAACTTTTTTTTTTTTTTTTAAATTCATCCTCAATATACTCTAGATCCGCCCCTACTGCCCATTGCTTACATGTTGCACTCCCAACATGAGTCTCACCATGTTTCTTCAACTTCATACATTGCTAATTCCCAGTGTCATTCGTTGTACACCGTTGTGTCAACTTTTCACTCTTTATAGTGTTTAATGTGCGTCTTAACGACCCCAACATTGTCTCGCAAACTCAAGGGAGATCTCTTCGGCTACGATCGTTTAGAAGGAAACACCGTAGTGTTAATACTAATAAACCCACTTAATATTCTAACAATCAACTAACACCAAGAGGGATTTTTGTTGTTTCAAACAAACAATTGGGGACTTGTTCTAATTCTTTCTTAAAAAATATTAGTGAATAGTTTGAGTCAGTAATCTGACAAGCAATGAAAACAACAGACAGGACTGATTTGGTCTCGTGAATATTTGAAACGAAGCCCCGTTGTCACTTTGTGTCGACTGACCTATCAATTATTATACATATGTTAAGTCTAATATATCTTGTTATATAGTTTCTGGATGCTTCTTCTTTTCATGTGACAAAAATCTTGTTTATTAAATTGAAAATTAGTGAACTTTTGTGTAATATTATTTTTTTAACTAAAGTGTCCAGTCCATTTACACATATCTCGATTATTGCTAAAGGAAAATTATCCTACAGTAATCCATCATCGCACCCTTCAAATAAATTATAGACAAAAACACTATTTTTACGTCCAATGAGAAATCAAACCTAAATGTATTCATAATTTTAGGTTGGGTTTTAAAAGTAAACAAAGGCAAATTTGCTTTAACAAAGCTCTTTTCACACCTCTNTTGATTTGCTAATATTTGGGTTTAGAATTAGAAATTGGGTTTAAAATTAATTTATTAATATTTGGATCTGGATCGGGTTATATCATGTAAGCCTACCATGGGGTTAGGTTTTTTATTATATATATTTTGTAATAGTAAAAAAAACTAAAGAAAAGATAACAGAGAGCAAGAGTAAAATACTCAATAAAAATACTCTATTTCTTTATTTGAATGTTAAACGTAATTCTTTTATTGAAACGAATCAAGGTAAATCATGCATCTTATTTACTATTCTGCATTTATTATTGTGTATATCCTAACAACGTATATACATCATAACAATTTAATAAATTAGCGTTCTAACAACATTATATGAACCCAAGACAAATATTGCTTAAGCAAACTTAGTTTTGATACCTTTAGACAAATAGAAGGCCCCAAAAAGTTGGGGTATTCAATTCCGAATACCTTGCATTTTCTAAAGGAATCGAAACTGGAACCAACAATTCTTTGAAATTGGAAATTACATATCCTAACAACGA